GCAATATTACCACGATGTTGCTTGTTGGCACTCACGCCAGCCAATTGGATTTGAGCAGATACCAGCGCGGAAGTGTGTGCACAAGTCTTGTTCGTGCGGAAGTGCATTGGGTCGCGGCCCCGACCCAGGTCGGTGTGTTGCATCCCTTCATGTAGCGTTTTCTTGCGCATGGCATCAGGGATTCGGTTTCAAGATTCTTTGAGGAATTGTTATCGCCTGTCTTCATCCTCATAATATATCGCACTCCTCTTCCCACCTGCTCCTCACGGGCGCTCCATGCGCGTGGCAGCATTACCATCAGTTGGGTTACCCAGTTCAAGAGAATTTGGGACAGGCTCGCCTCCTCCTCGAGTATCTTCGTGAGGATGTCTAGGGGTCGTGACATCAAACGAGACCAGAGAGTGGAACACGAGCATCGAACCACTAGACACCTGGAGGAGGAGGAGGAGGAGGAGGAGGAGGAGGAGGAGGAGGAGGTGACCCCCAGATCGCCTCGCCTTCGGCCGTGGAGGCGCTTTCGCTGCTCAGCGCTCGTGTCTGATAATGTGTCCCGGTGTAGGGGCGCGTCTGTCGGGCAGTCCTGCTCATCTGTGTCCTTCCCAGCCTTGGCAGTTCCTCCTCCTCCTCCCCCCCCTCCTCCTGGCAGCAGAGCAAGATTGGCCGAGGCTTACAGTCTAAGATACGAGCACCAGTCCCTGACTGGGAGCCGCAGCGCCAAGAATCTGGCAAGTCCTGCGCGCCCTGCAGGTTACTTTCTGGCACTTTTGGTCTTACGCCTTCCTCTCCCTCCTCCTGGCCTTCCTTCCTCCCTTCCTTTCTCTTCAGAATCCTCCTGGACCCAGCCCGCGTGCGTGATCGATGGCTGGGGGGATCCCAGCAGGGACACGGCCCACTGCGCGCAGGATTCTTAAGATTCTCCCCCAAGAGCTGGTTCACTTTTGCGTACTTTGCTCATGTTCGTTGTTGGCTCTTTCTGTGGGATGCTTTTCCCGCATGGATTCATCACATTCTGCCTTTGTATGTATGTGTGTGTTTGTTCCTGCTGTCGCTGGGCGTTCCTCCTCTTTCCCCCCGCACATCGCGGCTTCATTCGCATTTGGATGTCCTACATGTGCCCTTCCGCCAGCGCAGTCTCACTGCCTAGTCGCCGACGATAAAAACATGTGTGCTTGAGTGTGTTTGCTCTAGCGCTTGCCTGTGCGTGCTTGATCTATGCCGAGCTTCGAACTTTGGGAGCGTAGAGGGAAGAAGAAGAGTGGCGGGGACAGGGGCTTCAAAAGGAAGAGAGGGTCATCACATCGCGGGCGGTTGGCGAAAGACATTCCAGGGGTGATGGGTGCGACGTTTCGCGGAGGGGATCGACTGCAGCATTGATTTGCCCCATTCTTGATTTGTTCGATGATTCTACGACATTCGTAAACTGTTCCGTAGATCTACGGAGCATTATATTCATTTTCGTTGATCCGACAAACAAGCAATTTTTGACGCTTCGCGTATTCCCCCGCTCTTGGTGCTCGCGCGTTGTCAGTTCCCCCGTACGGCAAGGCGTACCACCTCTTCTGCCCGCGCTTCGGCTCTATCGCGCCAGTCTGGCTGCGCCTACCACTCGCTTCTGGTGCTGTCGGGCCTGCTTCAAGTTCTTCCTGTTCGGCAAGAGTGGCTCTGCCCCTGGTCTTCGTGCTCTTCGTCATCGGCACGCTCGTCTGGCGGCATCTTCTCGGGCTGGGCGGTACTTCTGTACTATCCCTCCAGCCCGCCGGACGTCGCTCGCCTCAGCGCTTCTTCCCTTAACTACGGGGCGCGGCCCGCGCTAGCTTGCTCGGCGTTCGACCCTTCTTCGCGCCCCCGCGGCCAAAAAACAAATATCCCCACCAGCCGCCCCGCGGGCAACCCAACACGAGCTGCCCCAGGTCGCGTTGCAGCTCTTTGCCGACGACGACGAGAGGTGGCCCCTCTCCCTGCTCAGCATGTGCAATCAGTCTGCCTAGCTTGCCCCCGCCCGGGGGGCTTCTGACCTGCCCGCTGAAGGGCGCAGAGCGACCGCAGCTCGGCCAGCCCCGCTTCTTCTTCGCGCAGCACCTCTTCACCGCGTTGTCGCTGCCCGACTACGCATTCTACTATTTGGGGACTTGGAGGCCGCTTGCCTTTTTCGGCGTTCGCTCGGCGCGACATCCTCGCGTCGCCCACGCTGGTCTCTCGGTGTCGTTCACGATGTTCCTACGGCTTGCCTGCTCGTTTCTCTGTGTATGTCTGGCCGTAAGGGTTCATGGACTTCGAGTTCGACGCGCTTTCCTGGGGAACTGAACGACCGTCACTTTTTTTGTCTGCGTGGTTGCTGGGAGTTCGTGGCTGCCGGCTCCTTCATGGTCTCCATCTTCGGCGTGTGCGTCTTGGGGAGCCCATGTTACTGACTTCTCATGTGCGTGGTCGTTCTTCTGCCCGTCCCTGCGTCCAAGTGGCACCTCAGCGGGCACTCCTTGCGTTGCCTGGTCCCGCTGTTTTGGTCGACGTGACTCTGAAGTGACCTCGGTGCTGATTTGCGTGGCCTCCCGCGCCATTCTGGCCGCGCGAAGCCCAGCTTCTGAGCTGGGCGCCGCTTTCCTCACTGTTGTTTCCTTTGCTTCGGCGCGGCCCGCCTTAGCTGTGCACGGCTGTCGACTTGCTTCGCGAGCCCGCGAACCAACAAGTATTCCCACCAACATGTATTCCCACCAATAGTAGCCCGCGAACCAGAAACGATTACCCCGTGAGTTGGTTAACCTGGGACGCCTGGAAGCACGCGGTCGTGCAGCCGTTTCGGAAGCGTCCAAATTGGGTAGGCAATAAGTACCCTTGGGCCACAAAGCAATGACCACAAATAGCTTCGCGCAGTGATGTTTGGGAAAGAAGTCGGCGCGACATGCGCCATAGTGGTCCTTGTTGGAAGCGTGACTGGCGCAGGTTGTTGGATCGACGATCCCGCGAAAGTGTTTCGCACTGTAGAGTTGTATGCCGATGGACATTATTCGTCTTAGCTCTTGCACCGATTTGTATCATAATCTCGCGTGCGTTTTGAAATTGATCATGTGCTGGTGCTGCTGCCGGTGCTGCTGGTGCTGTTGCTTCCGATGCTCGTACCGTGGATGCTGTTGTTGTTGCTGGTGTTTGTGCTGGTGCTGTTACTGGCGCTGCTGCCTGTGTGTTCCTGGTGGTGGTGTTGCTGCTGTTGCTGGTGGGGCCATGTTGGAGGTAGGCGGAGGAAGCGGAGGTGGAGGATGAAGCAATCGTCGCCGCTTCTCTGATGATGTTTAGGATGGGAAATCGTGCGGCATATGCCGTGATGTTCCCAATGGTAAACGTATGTGTTGTCTTACCACGGTGGCTTGATTGGCAACGCTAGTGAGTTGGTGTGTATATATATATATATATATATATGTTGTAGCGGAGTGCGTCGGTGGTGCTGTAGCTGATGGTGTCGTTGGCGTTGTCGTTCTAGTTGGTGTTTCTGGTACCGATGCTGCTGGTGTTGGTGTTAATGTTGTTGCTGGTGCTGGTGATGCCTGGAACCGTCTCGGGGGCAAGAGGAGCAGTAGGAGGAGGAGGAGGAGGATGAGGAGGAGGCGGAGCAGGAGGAGCAAGAGGAGGAGGAGGAGGAGGAGGAGGAGGAGGAGGAGGAGGAGGACGGAAGGGGGACGGGAAGGAGGAGGAGGAGGAGCAGCAGGAGGAAGGCGGCGCGAGGAGGATGAAGAGGAGCAAGGCGGCGGCCGGAAATAAGCAAGGAAGGGACGGGCGATGACAAGGAGGACGAGAAGTCGGGCTTTCGGGATTTGCCGTGGTGAGGGGTTGTTTTTAAGATTTGTAAGGCCATTTGGGCGCCATTTTGGGGCCCTCTTAGGGTCCTCTTGGGGCCGTTTGGGGGCTCTCTTGGTGCTCTCTTGGGGGGTCTTGGAGCGAGCCCTCTTGGGGCTTGTTGGGGGGGTCTTGGGGGGCTCTTGGGGCCGTTTTGGGCATCATTTTTCAAACATACTGGGGTCTTCATTCCCGCCGCCCCCATCGGAGGCTCAAGAGTGCTGTGTTGGGGCCCTCTCGGCCCGCTTTTGGAGCGCTCTTGGGCGCCCTTGGGGCCGTCTTGGGGACCTCTTGGGCCCCTCTTGGGGCTACATGAAGCCGTCTTAGGGCCATCGTGAGGCCTCAGGGGCCCATCGGAGGCGAAAGCGCGAGAAGGCCGAAACTATAGGTTTGTCGTAAGGTGTTGAAGGATGTTGGCCTGTTGGGGGGGTCCTTAGAGGGCTCGGAGGGCACTTGAAACCGTCTTTGGCAGTCTTGAGATCTCTTGGATGCGTGTCGGAGGCTATCTTCAGCCATCTTGAGGTATCTTGGGCAATCTTGGATGCAACATTGGGCTATCTAAAGCCCTCTTGGAGCTACCTTGGGCCCAAAAGGACGCTCTGATACGGGGGAGCCCGTCCAGACCCAGGGACGGGGTGGGGAGCTAAACCTCCCGAGCAGGGAAAGGAAGGAGGTTGTAAAAGGAAACGCCCTAGACCACCTGCGCCCAGAGGGCTGGTGGGATTTTGGGTGTAAATCAGTGTTGTATCGATCCCCTCCCTACTCGAATGAAAGTGCGAGGAAAGTTGCGGGGTCGGCTTCTCTCCCGCTCCATCTGTTCGCTCTCTGGGCCGCAGTGCTTTGGCTCTTGCCACCACGGCGCGTGCGCAGGCGGCCTCCGCCTCCGCTTCGGAACTGGGCAGGGGGCTGCCGCCTTCGCGGGCGACCCTGGGCAGGCTCGATACTGTAGCTCTGCGCTCCGTTGACGCGGCGGCGACCCCAGCGCGGGTGATCAAGGTTGAACGCCGCTAGATACCCAGGATCGGCCGAGAGCACACGACCTGCCTTCCATCGAAGGGCCGTCATCGCTCGAGGCTGAACGGTCCACGGGGTGTCAGAGACCCGCGCCGACGTCGTCGCGACGCGAGCCTGCCGCGTGTGTCGGCACCCGTGCCCCAGACGCGGCGGGGGAGGCCAAGTGGGGCTACACGCTGATCAGGACCGCGCCGCCAGCTCCAGCGGGGCGGGCCCGGCCCGGCGGCGGCGGGCCGCCGTGGGAAGCGAGGGGCGATCTCCGTTCGTATTCCCTCGGGCATCCTCATCCATCCTCCTCCCGTCTCCTCCCTCCTCCTCCTCCTCCTCCTCCTCCTCCTCCTCCTCCTCCCTCCTCGTCCTCCTCCTCTTCCGCCTCTTCCCCCTCCTCCCTCCTCCTGCCTCCTCTCACCTCCACCTCCCTCCTCAACCTCTTCCTCCTTTTTGCGTCAGGCAAATTTCAAGGGCTATGCTCGCAGCGTTCGGTGCACCTCCTCCTCCTCCTCTTCCTCCTCCGCCCCATTCTCCCAATCCTCCTCCTCCTCCTCCTCCTCATTCGCTCGAAAGCTGCACAAGCCGAAAGGTTAGAGCTCCGCACGGATGTCCTGGAGTGGCATTGGGACCCCTCTGCCGCGCTCCGCGCGGCATGGAAGGGGAGCCAGCGCCGAGCCAGGAACCCCGCGGGGCTTCCGAAAGTTTATGGCTGTGCAGTTGTTCTTCCTTGAATGGTCCCGTGGTGCTCGGGCGAACACGTCACGCTACCGAGGCTGTTCTCAGTGATGCTGCTGGTGATGCGCGAAGCATGCCATACTCGGGCAGTTTCCTCCGTCACTCCGCTGCTCTCTCTCTCATTCCGCCCCTCCCTCTCTCGTCTCTGGGACCAGCCAGATGTGAAATAGCGTGCTTTCTGAGGGACCAGACAATGTTACTTGCATGGCACTTGCATGGTTGAGGTAAGCCGCAAGCGACTTGCGCCTCCGCGCCATGCAAGTGCCAGGGCGTCTCGTCGGGGATGTCAGAGGCCTGAAGCATTTGCCATGGGCGTGCCAGTATTCGTTTGAAGAGGGGCGAACAATGCAGAATGCCAATGAGAGCCAGTGTAAATACCAACTCTGCGAAGCCCATGCCATGGGCACCAGATAGCGACCAGCTCGGTGGCTGCTGGGAATGAGACCCCTTTCTTATGTGGCACCAAGGGCAGATTATAGGCAAGTTGATGCTCAATGGTATCTTTGCACGCGGGGGGGAGGGGAGGGGGGCGTGAATCATGCAAGTCGAGAGGCACTTGCACGCTAGTATTCGTAGTAAAGAGGGGCGAGTTAGGGGGGGCGAGCGCCATGCAAGCAAACTTCCAGCGTCTAGCCAAAAGTATGCTCAAACACGCTGAACTCGATATTCGCCCCCAGCCCAGGATTCTCTTGGTCCGTTTGGTCTTTGGCCCTAGACAGGAGGGGTGTAAAGCGAGGGGGCCCATTTATCATACGTAAAAATGCGTGCGCGCACAGGGGGCATCGGACCTGCGTCTGGCACGAGGGTTTTTGGCATGTGTTGTCACGTCTGCAGGCGCTAGGGCTATCGATCATAGGTGCGCGGAGGCAGCATTTGTTTTTGAGCATGTTTTTTTGCACGCACGTTTGGCACGTATTTTCATTCGTGTAGGCGCCAATGGGGTATCGAACATGCAGGGGGCACACCATGACCAGGTGAAAACATGTGCGCGAAGGCGGTACCGGACATGCGTTTGCCACGCTTTCAGTTGGTACATGGTTTCACGCGTGTGGGTGCCAATGAGGAGTATTGAGCACGCGACGGGTGTCTTATGTTGCACGTAGACATACTTGCTCGAAAGGGGTTTCCAACGTACGTCCGTCACGCGGGCTTCTTTGCAAGCGTTTTTATGCGTGGATTGGCCCACATGGAGGTATAGAACATAGAGCCATCTTGGGCGGGGAAGTCGATGGGAGGTATCGGTTTCGGAGGGGTGGTGAGTGGTTCTTTGTGCCAGGCGATCGCAAACATGGATCAAGGGGGCGTGGATTGGCGACGGGCCCCGCTTCCATGTGAAATCGAGGATTTCCGCCGCCGAACGAGGCGACACCGGCCGCGTTTTGGGAAGGGCACCTCCCCCGATCCATGGATTTGGCGACCGCGCGCCAAATCCATGGATCCATGGACCGCTAGAGTCAAACACCCTAATAAGGACGCGCGACTTTGCTCAGGGTACCCTTGCGTCCTTGCTCTTCCTTGCTCTTGCGTCCTTGAAGTTTTCGTCGTCCGCCGCCCCAAAAATACAAACTTCGGTTTCAAAGGGTCTTGCGTCCTTACCGCGCGTCCTTATTAGGGTTTTTGACTGTAAACCATGTTTGGGCGCCCCATATTGTGGTCGGCGGCTTGAGCTAGAGGCCATTGGCAGCCTTTTCGGAAGTGTCAATGGTAGGGAACCTCGACGCGCGAAGCAACCCTCCAAAAGGCTACGGGGAGGAGGAGGAGGAGGAGGAGGAGGAGGAGGAAGCTAAGTGCGCTCGCGTCATATCTGACATCCTACCCCTCCCTCCCATCCCTTACCATGGCGCAGATCCCCTCGCTACTCGCACAGTCGGATGTCGAGCAGGGCAATGATCTCGAAAGGGTACGCGATGCATTGTACAGCACGGCATGGCATGGCGTAGAAGTGCACCGCGAAGCGTAGTATCGACCTAGCACTGCATTGCATGCCGTGGCATGGCACGGGAAACGACGCCAGCGCTGCAGCGGGAGCACGAGTCGAAACGAGCGGAAGCGCGGATATGAGGCCAGCGCTGCAGCGGGAACACGATGCGGAACAAGCGGAAGCACGCCAGAATCGGCCCGGGAGGCTTCCCGGGCGCCAGAAGCACAAAATCAGCGCTTTCAAAAGAAACATGTGTATTGGAATGGTTTTTTTTCGGCGCCGCCTCGGACCCTGACCCTCTCAGTCGTCTGTTAGCAACCTTCGGGTTTGCGATTGCACGCGTGCGTTGCAATTCAAACGCGCGTGTCGTCTATTCTCCAAAACACCTAAAAAGAGGAGGAGGAGATCGAAGGAGGAAGAGGAGGAGAAGGAGCAGGAAAAGGAGGAAGAGGAAGAGGAGGAGAAAGAGGCGGAGGAGAAAATGAGGAGAAGGGGGAGGAGGAGGAGGAGGAGGAAGAGGAGGAGGAGGAGGAGGTGGAGGAGGAGGAGGAGGAGGAGCAGGAGGAGCAGGAGGAGGAGGAGGAACGATGAGGGAAGGAGAAGTGGGAGGTGGAGGGGTGATGAGACAGCAGGAAGAGAAGGAGGAGGGCGAGGAGGAGGGCCAAGAGAGCTGGCCAATACTTTTTTGGGTCGTCAGTTGTGTGTGTTGCACTGCGCGTTTGTTGATTTCTACATGGTCGCTCCTGCCTGTTGGACCCAATGTTCATGCGATGCATTTCCATAACCAATTTTGTCTCAAGGATTTGCGGCTGTGGTTTTAGCATCTCTCGGTCAATCATGCGAGGATCCTCTCGAGAGAGAAGGAAACCGATGGCGGTGAGCTGGGACATCCTTGCGGGCATTCTTACTACACTTCCAGCTTCGTCCTTCAGTGGTGGAGATCTCAAGTATGACGATCTAGAGTTCAAACATGCTCCTCGCTGGCCTCAAGTATCGAAACTCCGACACACGCTTCTGCAGCTTCTGAAGCTGACGAACGGCCTCAACGTCCACCAGAAAAACCTCACCAAGGCCTTCATGGAGCACTCCGAAGAGCACGGTTTGGACCACACGGTAGAGAATTGCGAGCGGAACGCCTACAAGGTTCGGGCAATCATCGCACAATTCTGTAACCATAAGGCTGCTGACCCACCTCGAACAGCACCGCCTGCTTGGCGCCGCTACCTAGAAGTGATCTACGACGCCGTTGCTGTGCCAGAGCGGGCGCCGCAGAAGATCACATCACCGACGCCGAGCTCAGCGATGCCTAAATGCGAGTCGGTCAAGGGGTCTGTCCTGACGTGCCCGTCCTCGCCCGAGACCGTCCTGAGCAGCCGAGACCACGACGGAGACGAACTCTTCGATGCGGACTGCCCCGAGTTATCGCAGTCTCTGCAGGAGGGCGCGCAGGAGGCCTTATCGAACCGTGGCCCCGTCGAGGCTCAAGCTGATCAGGCACCCCGTTCTTCAAGTGTGACTGCTTCATTTTCTAGCGGTGATATCGCTGCGCTGGCCGAGGGAGAAGTAGGCATCGCCCCAAAGGGTTGGAGGGGCTTCAACAAGGACGTCAAGAAGGGGGAGAAAGCAGTCAAAAGGAAACGGGGCCCCCGAGTTCAGAAGGCTGCTGGCCAGCCCAAGTCTGGGCGCAAGAAAACAACTCAAGCCCCAGGGCGCTGGCGCGCCAGCCGAGGAACCACCCTACGAACAGATCCAGAAGTTCTTGAACAACATGCGCCCCAGAGCACGCGGGCTTGCCATCAAGGGGAAGATTGGCGAGGGGTGGAGTCCCGAGGGTGCGAAGACCTTTGGGTGTGCTGAGGCTCAGAAAGTGATGGCAGAGTACATGAAGCAGATCGACGGGGGGACAATCGACAAGTCCTTGCTCGTCTGATGCGCCCAACCTAGCGCAGCGCAAATCTAGGAGGGAAGGGGGGGGGGGGTAGATGAAGGACGGGGCGGGGTGGGGGCATAGCGCCGACGCACACTGCGCTAGAGGCAGAGCTACCAGCGCACGATTTGTTATCGCCAGCTTCTTTTTTTCAGTCGAGGTCTCCTCGCAATCTCTCGCAGCGTCTATCCTGTCTGGCAGCTGGCCGCGTTGCGCGCATTTTGCAGCAGTGCGTTCGTTTGGGGTCGAACGCAGCATTGGCTTTCACTTGGTCTGCGGCGCAGGTGTTTCGTGAGTTTCTGCGTTTGTGTGGGGAGGGCCAGCATCTTCAAGTGATTTGTGCCAAATCATCCCTTGTTCCCCCAAAGGATTCCATTGGTTGCCTGATTGATGACACGAAAGCCAAGCGAGACCTCCGAGAGCCATCCACCCCGAAGTTGCTCCTGGGAGACCCCCCGAAGAGGCCCTGACCCACGTGCTGCGCAGGCACGTGGGAGGGGGGGTGAGGGGGGCATTGAATGCGTGCGAGGCGGGAGGTTCACAAACTCCCATAGCTGAGCAGCACTAAAACGGGGGAAACACTGCAACCCACATGGGGCCAGCACCGAAC